AAGCGACCCCCACCCTGGCAACGGCCGCCAGCGGCACCCGGCCTAATCGTCGCGAAGGAGTGCCGAGTTACAGCTGCCGCTGCTGCACAAGTGTCGTAAAGCGCGGGCCTCGAAGGCTCCCTTCACGCGCCTGCGCAAGTCTCTTCGCCATAGAGCGCGCGGAGGACAAGGTGACCAGAGGGCCCTCGGACGTCGCCCTTTTCGGAATGAGCCAATAGGGGAAGGTGAAAGGGGGCGCGCGGGGAGAACAGGCCCGGCGTGGCCCCTACTCCTAAAATCGCCACGTTCCGAAGACCGAAGAGTCTCGGGGCTTAAAGTGGGATTTACCCGCAGTCTCCCTGGGTTGATGGGTGATGCCACTGGTACGTGTGGCTGTTCTGCAAGGCAGCACCAAGCCCAGCGCGGAACCGGAGCTGGGAGGCTAGCCCTACTGTCAATTACCTGTGTGACCTTGAACACAGCTTCCTCTCCTCTTTAGGGTTTGTTACCCCTTTCTGAAAAATGGGTTGTTTCTCAAACTAGAAAAAAGTTCCAATCTTGAGGGTCAGTGTTTCTAAATGATTAACTGAAGGACCCCTGAATCTACTAGTCCAGAGCAAGGCACCATCTCCCTTCCTCCTCATCCTTCAGGAGAAAATTCAAGGACTTTGTGATTACCTAAGAGACCCTGACTAACTTCCTGCAACAGGTTCAGATGCCATCCCCACATACTGTACACACTTCCAGACCATCCTTTCCAAGTCCTCATGCCGAATTGTAGCATTAAATCCTTTAGGGCTCTGCTCTAACTCCCTCCTGCAAGCACAAGCTATCCAACCCCCAAATCTTGTGGCAGTCTGACACCCCTCCCAAACACAACCAACGATCATCTCCGTTTTACAAATGAGGACATTGAGATTTGCAAAGGTCAATGCACTTGCCCAAGGTCATACAAGAAGGTGGCAGAGCCAGGACTTGAACCTGTCCCACCTAATTCCTGGGCTGTTAATTCCTGCTCCAGAGCCCACCTTGTGGGATAGATTTTTTTAGATTATTTTGGTATGTGTGTGGGAAGGCTACCATAATGGATTTGAATTCTGGATTCAAGTTCAGCTCAGCCCTTCCCTGTGTTGTGACCTTGGGCAAGTGATCACTCTCTCTGAATCTCAGTTTTATCCTCTGTAAAATGGAGATAATAACCGTGCCTATTATATAGGACTAGAGGAGAGTTTGATAAGATCACATGTGTAAAGTGTTTGGCAGAGGGCCTGACACAGGGTAATTACTGTTTACATTCATTCCATTGTAAATACTCAGAGTGGGACAGAGTACCTAGAGAGCTATGATGAGGACAGGGTGTGTGGGGGGACTCTCAGGAGGCTGTGGGAGTATCTCACCAAGCTGGGGCAAGCAGGGAAGACTTTCTGGAGGAGGGGTGTCTGAGCCTATATCTAAAGTATGAGTAAGAGATAAGTAAGGAGAGGGGGGAAGGGAGAAAGACATTTAAGGTAGAGGGAGCAGCAAATGCCAAGTCTTAAAAGTGGTTTTTCTCCTTTGAAAAGATTCCTTTGTGGAACACAGGAGAGGGGTTATGCGGGTGATACACAGAGACATGACAGAAGAGCCATCCACACATGAATCTGCAATCTTTCTCTCTCTCTCTCGCTCTCGCTCTCACACACACACACTGAAGCACAAAGAATCATGTCACAGACAGACATTAGTGCACAGTTATAGTGTCAAACAATTTTGTGCACGTACACAATCTCAGTACCACACAGACACACACAAGAACCAAAAAATAAACAAAAAACAAACAAACCACAATATCTCACACACTCAGGGCCCCTCACACTCAAAGTAACTAGAAATACATTAGGCAGAAGCATTTCACTCAGACACTAATACACATGTGTAGAAAGTATTACAATGCCCCCTACAGGTTCATAGAATTATGTCACAAAGGCACATACACAGAATGACATCACCAAACACATGTTACATAGACCTACATAGGAACATGGAGTCACATACATACGCATAGAATCACAGTGACATGGACACCTGTCACCTAGTACACTCACACCCCCTGAAGCAACCCCACAGATGAGTCAACACGCAGAGTTCTGGTGCCTACCAAGGCAAGGTCTTTATGGTGATATAGAGATTAGTGGGGGGTTTCAGAGCCAGCATAGCTGGTCCAGTCTCTTCCTGCCCCCCAGCCTAGCACAGTTTTCTTTTTCTTAAATCCTCACCTGAGGATATTTTTTAATTTTATCTTCAGATAGAGAGGGAGAGAGAGAGAGAGAAACATCAATGTGAGAGAGACACATCGATTGGTTGCTTTCTGCACAACCCTGACCAGGGCCAGGGACTGAACTGCAACCAAGGTACATGCCTTTGACTGGAATCGAACCTGTGACTCTTTGGTCTGCAGGCCGATGCTCTAACTGCTGAGCCAAACCGGCCAGGGCCTAGCACAGTTTTTTTGTTTTGTTTTGTTTTTTTTTTTAATTGAGGGCCCAGGTCATCCCCTAAGGAAGGAGGGGTGAGACCTTTCTCCCCCTGTAGCACCAATCTGGACAGGAAATTCCCTGAAAAAAGAAAAACAGAGTGAAAAGTACCCTTCAGAAAGAAGGTGAATGAGGCTAAGAGAGGAAGACCTTTTCCTGTGGAAGACCAAAAGTAGCACCATTGTAGAAAGGAGGCTGGGGACACATGGGTGGTGGCAGAGAACTGAGGAGTCTTAGCCTCACTTACCACCTCGTGATATGTGGATAGGGCTGTGCGTGTGCCTGTGCGGCTGGGGAAGTCTCCTAGATTGTGACCCCCCCAAGGGGGTTAGGGAGCCCCAGGTCCCCAGATACCTGGGGTAAGGTAAAGGTAAGTGCGTATCTGGAGGGCTGAGGTGGGGGGTAGAGAGGGTCCTAGGACAGACAGATTTTAGGGATATGAGATTGCGAATGGAGAGGTTTGAGCATGAAGTCTGTGAGCAGAAAGACCTGGATGATATGGATCTTGAATGAGAAGACATAAGAAAGAGTGGGAATTGGGGCAAGTTGAGTGGAGTGAGAAGGCCAGAATAAAGTTCAGAGGTTGGAGCCTGGAATCAGGGAGTCGGGTTGTAAGATTCAGAACTAAAAGAATCTATAGGGTGAGGTTCAGATTCTAGAATAAGAAGCATTTGGAGGCTGAGTTCTAGAACCATAATAATTTGGATCTGAAATCAGAGGCAGTTGGCAGCTGCGAGGAACTTACAGAGTAAGGACTAGAATTAGAAAAAGCCTAGGGCTGAGTTCTAGAGGGATTTTGGAGTCATAAGATCTAGAATGAAGAGCTAGGAGTATAGTATCTAGAACCAGAGACATTTATAAGGCAAGGTCTATAATCAGAAGATGTTTGAAGGCTGGGTTCTAAAACCAGGGTAATTTGGAGTCATAAGATCTAGAGTGAGGGGGAATTAGAGACTGTGTTTAGGACCAAGGGAATTTATAATATGTGGTCTGGAATCTGATACATTTGAGGCTAAGTTCTAGAACCAGAGAAAAGGAAGACAATAAGATCTAGAATCAGAGGGGCCTGGAAGTTGCAAAGTTTAGAGGTTGTGTTGTCTAGAACCAGTGAATGATAGAGGCCATGAGGTCTAGAATAAAAAAGAACTGGAGCATAGTGTCCAGTTCTGGAGATACTGGTTATAAGATCAAGACATAAAACTCGTTTTACTTCTTTTTGATTGGAAAAGCAAATCTTGAGTGTAGAAAGTTAAAAGGAATGAGCTGGGAATCATGAGATTTGGAAATCAGCAAGTCTGTATTTGGAACCAAATGTGTTACAGATTGGGAAGTGTAGAGCCAATAGGAAGTTTGGGGTTGTGAGGTCCAGAATCAGAAAATAATCAGTTGTAAAATCCAGAACCAGTTGGAATTGGAGAGTGTGACATCTAGAACAAAGATGTATACAGAGAAAGTCAGTGAGTTCTAGAACCAGAGGATTCTGGTGGCCAGGGGTTCTAGAGTCAGATGGAGTTGGAGGTTGTAAGTCCTAGAACCAGACAGTTTTGGAGACCATGAGTTATGAAAATAGAGTTGGAGGTTGTAAGGTCCAGGATGAGAAAGAGCTGAAGATAGTGAGATCTAGAATCAGAGGAGTTTGGAGGACTGTAGGTCTACACCAGACCATGTTGGAGTTGTGCAGTCTAGAAACAGGGGTGTGGAGCTGTGCAGTCTAGAACCAGAGATGGTCTGAAGTTGTGTGGTCTAGAACCAGAGAAGGTTGGGGGGTGCAGTCTAGGACCAGAGATGGTCTGAAGTTGTGTGTTAGAACCAGGAGAAGATTGGAGATCGTATTGTCTGGAAGCAGAGGAAGTTGGAGGCTACACCTGGAATAGGAGAGCCACAAATGAAGTCAGTGTGTGGCAAGGCTGGGGGTAGCAGAAGTCCAGAGTGGAGGGGGTAGGCAGAGCTGGGTGGCTGCTTAGGAGGCTAAGGGCACAATCAGAAGTCACTGGGTTGGGGGGGCATCTGGCCCAGAGGCTCCCTTACCCATTGACACCTGAGTGTGGGGGTGTGACAATTGGAGTCCCACATTCTTATGGACTCTGGGCACTTCATAGCAATTAAAAAGTATCACAAAAACAACAAAAGAAAAATAATAATAAAAGAAAGACAGATGGGAAGAAATGTGATTATGGTTATCAATACACCCCAGAGCCTAGAAACAGATCTGAACCCCAACTTCCCCCACCCCTAATTACCCAAGATAAAGCCAAGAGAGCTGGAGAAAGGATGAGGTAACCAGGATCAAGAACTCCAAGGGAAGTCCTGAGAGAAGGAGGAGGGGTCCAAGAACCCCCTCCCAGAGGTCACTGAGCTGAGACCACCCCAAAAAGCCCCCAGATGGGGGAGGGGTAGAGGGGTGATGAGTGAGGTAGGCCCGAGGTGGGCAGGGGCCACTGTGCATTGGCTGCCAGCTTGAAGTGTTGAGGTCCTTTCTGGGAAGGGGACATGGGAAGAGGGACTGGCTCAGTGGGCTTGGGTCAAGCTTGTCGCTGGTGGGAAGTGGCTCTTGGGTTGGGTGGTGTCCTCATCCGGGTAGAGACAGAGCAGTGAAGGGCCCAGGCCTGTGGAGGAAGATAGAAGGTAAACCAGTGGGGAATTATCACCCCAACTTGTCTGCCCCTGACAGTTAAAAGTGGGTGATGAGGTAGGCACACCTGGATTCAGTGAAACCTTGGGCAAGTTCTGCTCTCCGAACCCCAGGTGTCTAGAATATTTAAAACAGTAGGTAAGAAGCCAAGCCTGGAGCCAGACTCGACCTGAGTTCAAATCTAGGCTCTGCTGTTGTTTACTTGCTGTGTGACCTAGAGCATGTGACTTCACCTCTCTGTGTCTCTGTTACCTCATCTGTATAATGGGCTAATAATAGTGTCTCTCTCCCAAGAGTGAATCAATGTAAAGTGCTTCGAACAATAACTAGGGCTGTTGCTACCTGGAAAACAGAGATGCTTATATCTACCTCACTTATTGAGCACCTACTGCGTGCCAGGCACTGGGGAAGAAGCAGTGAACAGGACGATGAAACTCCATGACCTTGTGGGGCTAGCATTTCAGTTAGGGGAGTCAGTTAGGTCATGTACATAAATTTAGCACAAAGATTGGCAGAGTGAGTATTAGATAAATGTTAGCTCTTCCTTTACAAATATATACTGAGGATCTGCTCTGTGTCCAGCCACTGGCCAGCCTGCCCCTCCCCCTCCCCAGCACACTACAGCAGTGACCAAGACAGGCCTGGCCCCTGCCTTCACAGGGCTCAAACCCACAAGACAGCCAATTATCAAATAACTATGCACACACCTATGTAAATATGGTCTGTGGTGAGTGTTATGAGCCCCGAGCTTGGAAGGAGTACTAGTTGATCAGAGATCTAAAGGATGCAGTCATTAGGCAAGGAATAGATGGACAAGCATTTCAGGTACATGGATCAGCATCTGCCAAGGCCCTGAGGCAGCCTCCTCAAGCAAGATGATTTAAAAGTCTTTGCAATGCCCTACAGAGGGCCTATGTAACCTTCCCTACACCTCTCTCCCCTCCTCACTCTGCTCCAGCACCCTGGCTGTATTTGCCTTCCAAAAGACAGTTACGCCCCTCCACCCCCACCTCAGGACCTTTGCATTCACTGTTCCCTCCACCTGGAATGCTCTTTCCCCAGAAACTGTCATGGCTCACCTCCTCTCCTCCTTCAGGTCTTTGCTCAAATGTTACCTCAATGAGGCCATTATCTAATCATACTTAAAGCTAAAATCCACCCTGGCCAGTTTGGCTCAGCGGTTGAGCGTCGTCCTGCGGACCAGAGAGTCCCAGGTTCAGTTCCTGCTAAGGGCACGTACCATAAAAAAAAAGAAAGAAAACTAAAATCCCTGCCCCCCCCAGAACTCCCTTTCCCTTTGAATGCATTGTTTCCTCCAGTAGCACTTTTCATCTCCTGCACTCTTTACTGTATTTGTCCCTTTATTCTTAACAGTCTCCCTCACTAGAATGTCAGCTCTGCAGGGTCAGGGATTTCTATATGTTTTGTTCACAGTTGTGTCTCCAGCTGTCTGGCATTTGCTCTGTGTTCTATATATATTGGTTACAAGTATAAAGGACAGAATGACTCAAAAGACAGTGGCTGTGGCTGAAACAGAGGATGTAAGGCAGAGTGTGGTCTGATATGAGGCGGCAGTCAGACCCCAGAGGCTTGAGTCCAAGGTGAGGAGCTTGATCCCTCTGAACTGAAGGGCACTAGGGAGCCATGGGAGGATTTTGAGCAGAGGCAGGCCAGGGTCAGATTCGTGCTTTGAAAAGCCCTCTGCCTGATGCCTGGAGGTTCCACATGGAGCTGCGGCTATTGACAGTGGTGCCGGAAGACGACGATGATAGTAACAGAAACCAGGCAGCATGTGTCTCGCACCCTGCGGAGAGCTGTGCATGCAGTGTGGTGCCAAGGTAGGCAGTTCTTGAGCGTTTACTATAAAACAGCTCTCGTGCTAAGTTCTTCCTGGGCAGCGTCTTCACAGGTCCACGAACATCTCCTTAAGTTAAGAACTATTACAATAGGTCCTAATAGACGGGGTGGGGAGTGGTGGGGGTGGGAACCCAGGCTCCAGAAGCAAAAACTATTTCCCAAAGCCACATGCCGGTAATGACTGAGGTGTGACTCAGCCCCAAAGCGTAATCAGAGGCAGCCTTCAGGAGATCTAGGTGCGGAGCTGGGCCCAGTTTCCATGCCTCCCTCAGGGCCTCTTTCCCCCCACAGTACTCCTGGGAGGAGAGAGGGGCTGCACATTTTCACCAGGGTCACCTCCGGGCACTGACAGCTGCCCACCACTTTCAGGATCGCCCCACCCCTTTCTCAGCCTTCCACACCTCCCAGGGAAGAGGGGCCCAGGGCCTCTGCATACCTAGGCTGCTACTCACCCAGGGACTCATTTAGTTCCAGGAGGTGGGTGCTGGGATCCTGCTGTCTGGCTGGGGTGGGTCCTCCTGTCAGAAGGAAACTCTGCAGGGCAGAGACAAAGTCATCATCATCATCATGATCAATATCCAAGGAGGCAGGATGGTGCAGTGGTTAAGGACACTGTGGGGGTTCAGTGGCTGCTTATCAGCTGTGACTTTGGGTAAGTCACTGTCCCAGACACCCTCCAAATGTCCCTCCAGAGCCTCATTTTCCCCTTCTGTGCCCCAGCAGGCTGTGTGTGTGGGCTCCGTCAATGCGCAGCCTTGTTCTGTGTTCTGATGGGGCTCATGCAATGGGAGATGCCAGCAGGTGGGAGGAGGACAAGGAGGGGTGTTTGACCTTCTGGCTGCTGGGTCGTCATGGGTTAGCTGTGTCTCTCCACAGAAGGTTTCAGCTCTTACAAGGTAGACCCTCCTTTCTCCAAGACCCAGTGACCATCCCTTGCCTTGTGCCTTCAGGCTGGAGGTGGTGCCAGCTACCCACACTGCTGCCCTGGGGTGCTGTACCAGCTCTTGCTGATCCCTTACATGTTGCCCACACCTTTGCCAACAGTCTTGTTATTAAATTCTCCTCAACACCCCATTCGAGTGTGCTGTTTCCTGCCCAGACTGACTGGTACAGTTACCTAAACTCTCCTGTGTAAGTGTAGATGATGATGATGATGATATTTCCAGAATGGTCATGGGGATTAAATAATTTACTCATGCAAGGAATTAGGGCAGTCAGTGTCTGGCACATGGTAGACACTCTCAAATAAGCTATTGATACTATCAATCACACCCTACAGGTTCAAACAGCCCTGTTGGGTGAGCAGTCAGAGAGCTCTTCTATGGGCAGTAGGGAACCATGGAAGGTCCTGGGCGGGGGGCCTTGTGGAAGTCACAGTCTAGGCCGGCGTTTAGACGGTGTTCTGGTTGCTGTTGTGCAGAACTGACAGCCAGGGCAGGGAGACTGCGGGGAATGGGGTGCTGCTCTAGTTTGGTTGGTTTTTATACATTATCTACACCCCCCCTGGGGGATGAGCAAAGGGACTGATTTCACTGGCTTTTCATGGAAGTCCGTGATATGTAACTATCCCACTTTCCAGATGAGGAAACTGAGACTCAAGAGTGCTGATATCACCTGCCCAAGGTCTCAGTTATTAGGCGGCTGACCTGGGACTCGAACCCAAGTCAACCTGATTCTAGTGTCTGTACTCAACACTACTCTAATCATCCAAGGCCAAGACCTTTTCTAGGTTTGGAAAGGGCCCACAGGAGCAGATACTACCCCCTTGTGATTTCTCCCCTTCCCCTGTTTAAATTTCTTAGTGCTTCCTACCAATTACATAAATGTGCATAACCCTTTCATACCCATTACCTGAGCTGTAATACCAAGGTCCTAGCTTCAGCTGGATTATTAACTTTCCATTTGCCCATCAGCCAGCCCCTGTCCCTTCTGGTTTTCCAACCAAAGAGCAGTAAGCTTAAGCCTGCTGGGTTCTGAGGGCCAGAGAACCCCGCAAATCTCCACACATACCAGGCTGAGAGGAGGCAGTAGAAAGTTTTCAGGTTCTGAGCTGGGGGACCGTTTGGGGGGTCTTACTCCCAGCAGCTCCACCCCTTCGGCCCCGTTCTCTGAGCTCTGGGCCAGGGGCCTGGAGGAAAACAGAAAAGAATCTCAGAACATAGCAAACATGGGCAGGTGTGGGCACCAGTGTGCGTAGAGGATAAGTGTTCATTCACTCCCCCAAGCACCTATTTATATACTCCTCTATCCCCAGTCCATCCATCCACCCACCGATCCATCCATTGATCCATTGATCCACTGATCCATTCACCATTCCATCTTCCCATCCATCCTTCCATGCATCCACCCACCCACTGGTCTATCTTCCTATTCATCTATCCAATGATCCATCACCTACCCACCCATACAACCTCCATCTATCTATCCTCCCATTCATTCATGTACCTATTCATCCACTTACCCACTTGTCATCCATCCATCATCTATCCACCCCTCCACCTACTTTATTCATTAATTTCCTCCCTCATTTAACAAGTCTTTGCTAGGCACCCACTGTATACCCAGTGCCAAGCCGGGAGCCTTGGGGAATACTTAGATGTGTGCACAAAAGCCTGACATGGACAGTAAAGAGACCACTCTGGAGACTAAAGGGGCACATGCCCACAACTTGAAGAACAAAAACTTAGGTATTAGGAATCTAGCATCTTTGGAAGAGGGACCTGGACCCTCTGAAATTATATGCAAAATGTGTGTGTAAATATTCCTGAGAAAGAGTCCAAAGTTTTCAACATTCTCAAAGGTATTCGGAAACTTAGCTCTAGGAAGTTTCTCTAACCTTGTGGCAATATCCTTTTAACTATGACAAAAACTATCACTAGGCCAGATACAAGTATGTTGCAAAGGAGAAGGCCCTGGTTGACTGGTGGGATTTGACTAAACAATGAGAACGGTGAAGGGCACTCCAGAGGGAGGGCATAGCCTAGGCAGACACGTAGAGGCTGGAACATGCATGCCATGCAGGGGCACCGAGGGCGCGGCCAGGGCGGAGGTCAGTGTAGGAGGGATGACGAGAATGAGGCTGGAGTAGGAGGCAGGAGCAAGACGGGGTCAGGGACCCCCTCTCTGCTCCCTTGACATTCCTCCTCCTCTGTGGCTCACCTCTTCCGAGCCCCAGCCATGGATGGGGCTGAGGCGTTCCTTCTGGAAGGGCTGGAACAGCTCAGGCGGGGGTCACTCCCCCAGCGGGGCAGCAGGGAAGGCTCAGGAGTTGGGGGTGACAGGCCGTGGAAGCTCCGAGCGCGGGGCCGGGGGGCAGCCCCCGGAGGTCTGTGGTAGGCCCTGGGTACGTGCTCGCTGGAGTTGAGCTGGAAGTCATCATCCATGGAGATGTAGGGGGCCAGCATCTCCAGATCCAGGGCATCGGCGTCCTGCGGAGGGCAGGAGGGAGTTAAGAGCCTGGGGTGAGCCTGGGCTATTGTCCCAGCTCCACCACTTCCGAGTTGTGTGCCTGAGTTCTGAGCTTTAGTTTCCTCATCTGTAAAATGGGGATAAGGACTCTGTGGTAACCAGTCACCAACATTACCCCCAGGGATCCTCTCCTCTTGGTACTCATGCCCTAGTGTAGTCCCCTACTGCAGTGACTAGGGTTGCCCTGGTAACAATAGGATATTGTCAAGGTGATGGTGTATGACTTCCGTTATTAGGTTATAAAGACACTGTGGCTTTTGTTTTTGTTGTGCTCTCTCTCTCTCAGATCACTTGCTCTGGGGAAAAGCCATGTCCTGAGCAGCACTATGGAAAGGCCCACATGGCAAGAAGCAGACCTCTTGCCAACAGCCAAGTGAGTGAATGTACTCTAGTCCAGTCAAGATTTCAGATGACTGCAACCCTGGATGACATTTTGACTACAACCCTGTGATAGTCCCTGAGTCAAAGCCACACATCTAAGTGGCTCCCAGACCCCTGGCCCTCAGAAATTATGTGAGGTAATACATGATTGCTGTTTTAACCTTCTAAGTTGGTTTTGTTGTTGTTGTTGTTAATCCTCACCCATGGATATTTTCCCACTGATTTTTAGAAAGAGTTGAAAGGAGGGAGGGAGAGAGAAAGACATCGAAGTGAGAGAGACACATGGACTAGTTGCCTCCCTCATGACCCCAACTGGGGCCGGGGATTGAACCTACAACCCAGGTACGTGCCCTTGACTGGGAATCGAACCTGAGACCCTTCGGTCTGTGGGCTGACACTCTTACTGCTGAGCCAAACCGGCCAGGGCTAACCTTCTAAGTTTTAAGGTAACTTGTTATCCAGAAATAGATTGCAAATAAGATTCTGGTATCAGGAGTCGGGTGCTGCTATAACAAAAGCCCACTGCCCGGAAAAGCCCGGTGGAGAAAGCCTAGATTACCTTGAACAAACTATTAATAAAAATCTAAACCAAGAGGAGCCTGCCAGTGAGGGCTTAAAGGGAAGTGAGGAACATGTTACTGGAAAACAGGAAAGGGGATTTGTTGTTAGTCCTCACCCAAGTTTATTATTTCCATTGATTTTGAGAGAGAGAGAGAGAGGGAGAGAAACATTGATGTGACAGAGAGACACTGATTGGTTGCTTCCTGCATGTGCCCTGACTGGGCCTGGGGATCAAACCTGCAACCCAGGTATATGCCCTTGACTGGGAAACCGAACCCACAACCCTTTGGTGCACAGGCTGATGCTCTATTCGCCACACCGACCAGGGCAAAGGGGAATTTTGATGTGCAGTGGCTGAAAGTTTAGCAACACTGCCACCTGCAGCTGTATGGAAAGCAGAAAATGTTACGTGAACTGGGTGATCTAGCTAAGGTGATCCTAGCCAGACTGTCAAAGGGGCTGCCTGATTTCTCCTTGCTGCTTGGAGTAAAAGGCAAGAGGAACCCTGGCCGGTTTGACTCAGCAGTTAGAGCGTCGGCCCATGGACCAGACAGTCCCGGGTTCGGTTCCCGCTAGGGGCACGTACCTCAGTTGCAGTTTGTTCCCGGCCCTGGATGGGGTCATGTGGGTGTCAACCAGTCGATGTGTCTCTCTCACATGGATGTTTCTCCCGCCTCTTCCTCCCTTCCTCCCTCCCACTCTACCTGAAGATAAATGCAAAAATGTCCCTGGGTGAGGATAAAAAAATAAATAAATAAAAGGCAAGAGGAGAGAGAAGCTAAAGGAAGAAACGTTACACATGAAGGAGCTGGGCCTGTAAAGTCTTGAGAACTCTCAGTCTCTCTGTGTATATTGAACTTTATCCCAAAAGAGGTTTGACCTTTTGACCTGGCTCTTGGGAGGTAACATCTAAACCAGCGGAGTTTCCTGATTGATTGGTGTGTCTTTGCTGTTCATGGTGGGCCCCTTGGACATGCCTGATAGTTTATGCTAACAAGATGACTCTGGGTGAAGGCTGGCTGTGCCGGAAAGGTCAACCATGTGGTTAGAGGGTTGGGGTTTGGGCCACGTGAAATCAGCCTGACCTCCAGGGAAAGTGTGGGTCTTTGGGGAGGAAGAGATGGTGATCAAGTTCAACTACATGGGCAATAACTTGATCAGTCATACCTGTAAAACCTTAACAAAACTTTGGACATGGCTCAGACCTTTGAGTAGACTTCCTGGAGTGGCAATACTCCATGTACACGTCGCCACACATCAATGTCAGGAGGGTAACACCTCCCCGGGAACATGGAAGCTTTGCATTTGGCACCCTCCAGTCCCAGATTATACCCTGTGCATCTTGTCCTTTGGTTATAATGGTTTTTGCTATAATACAATTGTAATCATAAATGTTATGCTTTCTAAGTTCTATGACTAGTTCTAGAAAAAGAATGAACTTGAGGGAGTCTGTGGGAATCTCTATATTTTCATCCAGATAGTGTGCAGCGAGGGTGGCCCTGAGGACTCCTGAACTTGGGCAGACTTGGGAGTCTGGAGGACAGTGTCTTTGGCCTGGGGTTTAGCTAACTCTGGGAACTCCCTAGGTGGCAAATAATGCTAAAATTAAGAAATGGGCCCTGGCTGGTTTGACTCAGTGGTTAGAGCATAGGCCTGCAGACCAAAGAGTCACAGGTGCAATTCCTGTCAATGGCATGCACCTCGGTTGCAGTTTGGTCCCCGGCCCTGGTCAGGGTCATGCGGGAAGTAACCAGTCAGTGTGTCTCTCTCTCATCGATGTTTCTCTCTCTCCCTCCTTACCACTCTATCTGAACATAAATGGGAAAAAATATATCCTAAGGTGAGTATTAAAAAAAATAATAAAATTAAGAAATGGTTTCTGAGCAAAGAAGGGCACCCTCAGAAAAGCATGGCCTAAAGATGAAGCCAGAGTGTGACCATAAAATTCCTTGTTAAGACCTCAGAAGGATAAAAAGTGGTGGTGCCTAGCAGTATCCTTCAGTTAGACAAATGACTCTCTAGAGCAGCGGTTCTAACCTGTGGGTTGCAACCCCTTTGAGGGTCCAATGATGCTTTCACAGGGGTCGCCTAAGACATAACAGTAGCAAAATTACAGTTATGAAGTAGCAACGAAAATAATTTTATGGTTAGGGGTCACCACAACATGAGGAACTGTATTAAAGGGTTGTGGCATTAGGAAGGTTAAGAACCACTGCTCTAGAGTTTAGAGATGTGCCTCATAGATCTTATCAAACAACAGGGCTTCTATTAGACTTCAGGGCACTGTCACTCAGCTATCTCAGCAGAAGCACAAGGTAGACAAGGATTTATCTCAATGAGATTTGTGGGTCTGATTTTTGTTTAATGGTGTGAACTCCAAAGAGATTCACACGGTTAATAAATTTTCACAGCCCTTGCTGGTTTGGCTCAGCGGTTAGAGCGTCAGCTCATGGACCAGAGAGGCCTGGGTTCGGTACGTACCTTGGTTGCAGTTTGTCCCCGACCCCTGCAGCCAGTCGATTTGTCTCTCTCACATAGATGTTTCTCTCTCTCTCTTCCTCCCTTTCTCCCTCCTGCCATATCTGAAGATAAATGCAAAAATGTCCTCGGTGAGGATAAAAATAAAACACACCTTTAGCCCGGGCCGGTTTTGCTCAGCGGTTAGAGCATTGGCCTGCGGTCTGGAGAGACCTGGGTTCGGTTCCCGCTAGGGGCACGTACCTCGGTGGCAGTTTGTCCCCGGCCCTGGTTGGGTCGTGTGGGTGGCGACCACTCGATGTGTCCCTTTCACATCGATGTTTCTCTCTCTCTCTCTCTCTCTCTCTCTCCCCCTCCCACTCTATCTGAACAAAATATCGAAAAATGTCCTCGGGTGAGGATAAAAAATAAATAAAGAAATAAAACATACCTTTAAAATAAAAACAAAAAAAATAAATGTTCACACCAAAATAAATTTTTAAGAGAATTATATGAGTAGAAAGATTGCCAGTTTGGGCTGAAAGGGAGAGAGATGACACAAAATGAAAAGAGACCTCGGACCACCAAAGTTCCATAAGCAGGAAGCCAGTTATGAATACCACTCAGCTGCAAACGCACGTTGCATTTTATGAAAAAGGAAGGATGATTGAGAGTGAGGAGCCAAGAGTCCAGACAGCAGAGCCAAGAATCACGAAGAAAAGCTCCTGGGAAGTAGTAGAAATGAGTTCTGATCAAGGAACTTTTGATATTTGCCTAACTGGATTTCAAAACTGCTGTGGACCAGTGACACCTGTGTATTCTCCTTTCCCTTTTTTTGAACAGGATACATATAGCAGTTATTCTATGTGGGTGGCAGACAGTTTGTCTCTTCAGTTCACAGGCCAACAGACTGAGATGGAATGTACTTGAGCTTCACTGCATCCAGACCTGATTTAGGTGAGCAGATTCTGGAATTCAAGCTGATGTTGTAATGGGAAGTGACTTTTTGATGGAGCCCCAATGATCCTTGCATTTTGGTGTTCACACTTGTATGCGGTTGTCTTTCACATTGTACTAGGATTGGTATGTATGACAAATACATTACAGCAAAAGTAATGTGTTGGAATGTAACTTCTAAGGTTAGGTTATAAAACACAGCATTTTCTGTCTTGGGCTCCCTCTGTCTCTTGATTATTTGCCTTGGAGAAATCCAGCTGCCATGGTGTGAGGACACATAGGCAGCCCACATAAAGGCCCACGAGGTGAGGAACTGAGGCCTCCAGCTAAAGCCAGTGAGGGACTGAGTCTTGCCAACAATCATGTGCATGAGTTTGAAAGTGGATCCTCTGTGGCCCCAGGTGACTGTGGCCTTGATTGAGAGCTTGACTTCAGCCTCATGAGAAATTCTGAGCAAAAGCCACACAACTAAGCTGCTCCCAGATTCCTGATTCTCAGAAACTGTGTGAGTTGTTTTAAGGTACTGAGTTTGGGGATAATTTGCTATATAGTAATAGATAATTAATTCATCATGCCACTGTCATTTATCTATCTATTCAATCAATAATTCAAACATTATCCATCCATCTGTCGTTCATCCAATGAACCAATGGTCTATCTAGCCAACTACCCATCCAAACATCCCATTCATTCATCCATCTATCCATCCATCCATCCATCCTTCCAAATATCTGTCTAAACACCAATCCATCTATCCACCATCACCCACCTAATGAATACAATGATCCGTCCATCCATCTATCCATCCACTCATCCCTTTAATCATCCCACTGCCTTTCTCTAAAGCCCAGGTATGTCAGCCCCCATGCCAGCCCTCACCTGAGTTATATCTAGATCTGTCTCCACTACCTCCATGTCTTTCCCAGAGGCCAAGACTTTGTGTGCATTCTCCACGTCCACGAGTAGCTCATCTGGGAGATCAGCCTGTGAGGAGACAGAGTAGAGACTTAAGGAAATCTTGAGCCTAGATGGTATCAACAGTAAGACAGTCTAGACATTTGAGCTCAGAAGTAGAAGTGAGGGTCAAATATTAAACAGCTGGACACCAAGGGGGTCAAATGCAAATGACTTCTGAACCTGGGTGTTCAGAGAGCCTGGGTGTAGAGCAATAGGAAAAAATCAAAGGTTTGAAAGACCAGAGTCTGAAGCCAAGACATTCAGGCCTGCTTGGAGCCTGGGGGAAAATCATGCAGAGCCCAGCTATCCCAGGGGTACAGGGTGAGGTCAAAGGTCACAGCCTAGTTCTCTGGTGGAGAGAGGCTGTTTGGGGGCGGGGCATAGGGTCGGGATGAGGAAAGGCAACACCAGATAATGTGGACCAAATAGTCAAAGGTCAGACTACCTGGACTCTTCTGTGAAAACAGTAACCTGTAAGGTCTACTGAGCACCTTCTAGGTGTCAGGCTCCTACTAAGGTCTTCCCATGAATAATCTCATTGAGCCCTCACAATAACCAATGACGTGGCTATTTGTTACTATTCTAACTTTACAGGTGAAGAAACTGAGGCCCCACTTGTCCAGGGTAACACAGCTTGTAAGTGGCAGATTCAGGATTTGAATACAGGTTTGTGTAATTTAAGACATTAGATGTTCTTGACTCTTTGAGGTCAAAGTCCAGAGAGCCTGAGTGTTTGATCACAAGCCAGGAGGGGTCACCCATGCCAATCCCAAACACCCCAGGTTTTGGTCCAGATAACAGTTAAACAATCTGGAATCTAGGTCTTAAGGAAACCCCAGACCCCATCTCATCCCAACCTTCCCACTACACAGATGGAGAAACTGAGGCCCAGAGAATGGCAAGGTTCAAGCCAAAGGACAAAGCAGCCCGGATCCTGAGGGCTCCAGTGTGAGGGACTGCTTACCGGAAGGGGGCTCTGGGGGCACCTTGAGGCCGGGGGTGCGCTGGGGGTGGTGGCTACTGAAGTCCCATCTAGAATAGGTGCCAGGAGGCGACGGAGATCAGGGCTACAGAAACGGCGGGGGTCAGCGGCCAGCGTGGCCTCGCTCAGGGCAGGGGGGTGTAGGAAGGCCAGGATCCGGGGACCAGAGACTGCTGCAGGACACATCAAGATGGGGAGGACACAGGATGGTCACCCATGGCAGAGGGGCAGAGCCCTCCACGCCATCCCCAGGGAGCATAGCAGATGTCTTCAACAATCAATCGGGGTGGACACCATTCACAGTGCTGGGAAGCTGGGCCAGGTGCTATCCCTTTGATTGTCAGATTATGGCAAGTCCCTGGAGGGTCCTATAGGAGGAGACAACATGGGGTGAGGGGCACACAGTAGGCTTGAAACAGTAGCAGTTGCCCAGTGGTGGGGAAATATTTTAAGGTTTAAAATCAACATGGCTAGACCAGTACACATAACTGACCCGATTCTCCAGCGGCACAGAACAGCATCCGGCCATTCAGCTGTGGGGGGAAAGACTGACCCAAGGCCCTCAAAGAAGTTCTAAAGTCTCCTTGGCCTAAGCCAGTTCTGAGCCAGAAAAGAAAAGGATTCCACGGACCACATCCCACACCCAGGGACATGGACTGCCAGCAACAGCTGGGAGAAGGTGAGGCCTTGAAGAACAGCAAACAGGGAGGGAAGCTTGTCCAGAATTGGGGAGACAAGGGAATGGGAGGAGAAGGAAGAGGTGGAAAGGAACCAGATTTGGGAGGTCAACATTACTGGAAGCCAAAGAGCAGTGAGGTGGGAGGAGGGAACAAACTGAAGGGTGGGGGCAAAGGGGAGCCATGGCAGGATTCAGAGCAACAAGACTGCAGCAATCATCCCAGGGACACAGGAACAGAGGGAGGACAGAAGAGAGGAGAGCTTTCAGGGCAGAGGAAACTGCATATGCAAAGGCCCTGAGGCATGAAAGAGTTTGGCACGTTCCGAGAGCACTAAGGAAGCTGGTGTGGTTCAGAGTAAGAAAAGGAAGGAGGCAGGAGGCAGAAAGTAGGTCACACAGGGTGAGCCACATTAAAGCACTTGGGCTTTCTCCTAAGCATCCTGGGGACACAATCCCTCCCCGCCCCAGCCCTGCCCCATACCAAGGCTGTCCCCAGGATTAGGGGGATCCTTCTGAGAGGGGGTGGCCCGCTGAACGGGTCTGCGAGAGTGTCGCTCCATTTGCTCCGAGGACAGCACCACTCCAGTCTCTTCCACCCGGCTGGGGTACAGGGCAGAAAGGGGAGTGGGAGTCAGGGAGGGTCGTTGGCCCCGGCCCAGGCAGCCCCCTCAAATGATGTCCTGTCATAGGAGGCAGTCCTGTCAGGGGCAGGAGGGTAGCGTGCAGAAAAGAATTTGCCACATTTACTTGTTTCTTTTAAGGATTTAATTTTTCTCAAATGCTTTTTATTCTAATAGCATTGAAAAGAAAGTTAAGTGTGTCTTCCCAAGCTCCCTCTGTGGAAGGAAAGACAGAAGAAAGAGTTGGCATTTAGTAGGGCTTGGGTAGAGAGGGGAGGCTGAGAGGGTGGGGCACTGGGGGCAGAGAGCCGGGAGAGTAAAAGGTGTAAAAATGAAATATTCTCTTTATAGATATTCACTCATAAACATTCATAAAAATGTATTAATGAAGACTATAGCGTTAACATTCCAATGTTCCCAAATGTGAAGAATTCATAGGGATATTTTTTAATGAGTAAGATTTTATTTATGAAGATTCTATTCACAGACATTCAAGGGAATTGATTTATCAAGACATCCTTCTTACGTCCCCTCCCTGCAGTATCTAGCGGTAGAGACAATCCAAATGTTCGCTGAGCAAATCAGCTTTTGGTGAATTGGTCTGGGGCTGAGGACCAGGCCCTCGTTTGCATCTCATTTGCATCTCATTTGCATAACACTCTCCAGGACAGAATGTGGGTGGTCCTCCTGCCAGCTCTTAGAGAAGCTATGATCCTTTCCCACCCGTACCAAACCCCTTCTGGGCTGGAAACATCCCAATTTAGGCTGGACCAAAGCCACTCCATCCCCTTTGAAAAACACAAGCACACACACCCGGTACACACAGGCACAAATGGCAACACTCATATACGCCCATGGATATACACGGACTGGTAAGTGCACACGCTCCATTCACTCAGGCTGGCACATGGAGTTCACTCCCTCCTTCGCTCCACAAGCATTTCCTAGACAATCGGTACTGCTTAGTCAGTAGTTGAGAACAAGGGCCCTGCAGCCAGTGTGGCCTGGTTTCAAATCCCAGCTCTGCCACTTACAAGCTGTGTAACCTTGAGTGTGTGGCTGAACCTCTCTGGGCCTCGTTTTCCTCCTCTGTAAAGAGGGAATAATAATAGTACCTCCTCCCCAGGTTGCTATGAGGCTTAAATGAGTTAATATAGGTACAAGGGGGGGAGAGTAGACTCTACACACACCAATAGCCACACCACCGCACACTACACAATATGTACACGGCGCTAACGATTAATACCGTAGGCTCCTCAATTCACTGTTACTAAGTAAATACCTATCATTCCTCACCCATTTTCTGCCAGTAAAACTGAAATCTGCTCTTTTTTTAGAGTGCAAAAAATGGAAATCTCAGGGCCTGGCCATAAAAAGGCAGATCCTCATAATGAATAAAAGGAGTTTCCCTCTCTTTCACTGTCTATAAATTATTCAAAGATTCTGATTTGAAAAGGTGTTGACATGAGAACATTCAAAAGATGGTCAGTTTGTTTTCTTGTGCAATATAAAGATGTGTATGAATCCTCCTGTTACCAACTTCTATTTTCAAAAGGGCCCGGGGAAAATTCCTAAAATGTTAGAAATTGGTGCCACATCCTAGAAGGTAATCTTAAAAGAAAAGCTGTCATTCCGTCTGTCTTATGGGATAATTTGTTGTCTTTGTCACCATGTTATGGTGGAAAACTTCTAAGATACACAATGGAGTGGGGGGAGCTTATGATTTACTATCACATTTCTATTAGAATGGCTAAAATTAAAACCAAACAAGACAAAAAGAGACAATACAAAATGCTGTCAAGGATACAGCTGGAACCCTCTCATACACTGCTGATGGGATGCAAAATGGTACAGCCACTTTGGGAAAACAGTTGGGTAGTTTCTTACGAAGTTAAATATACACTGACCACATGACCCGTTCATGCCACTCCTGGGTGTTTACCGAAGAGAAGTGAAAACATATGGTTTCATAAGGTCTTATACCAGAATGTTTACAGCAGCTTTTTTTGCAATCACCCAAAATAGGAAACAGCCCAAATGTCCTCCAACTGGTGAATGGATAAACAAACTGGGGTCCATTCCGATTTAAACCACAGAATACTACTCAGCATTAAAAAGGAACTAGTTATACACACCACAACATAAATTGTAAATACATTATGCTGAGTCAAAGAAGCTACATATTGTAGAATTCCATGTACATGACATTCTAGAAAAGGCAAAATTCTAGGGTCAGAGAACAGATCAGTGGTTGCCAGGGAGTAGGGATGAGGTGGGTTCACTATGAGAGAATTTTGGGGGTATTGTGGTAATGGCTACACAATTCCATGCATCCGTCAAAACTCAGAACCATATACCAAGAAGAACAAATGTTCTAAATATAAACACCTCAGTTTTTTAAAAAAGCAAAACAAATCCCCATGAATCTGCTAGATTTCTTATTTTAACTTGAATGTAGTCCTTTTAATTTAAATTAATAGCATACACACTGATGACATTTGTATGCACACATAGATTCATGTGTGGGTTCAGTCACACATGTTCCACATACATGTGTGTTTACACTCTCACACATGTGCACAATATACAATCACACTTGTGCATACCCACATACATACACACACCTGTCCACACACATGCAGATCAGACCTCGGTACACAGTCACCCCTTCACCCCCCACTTACCTGATCAGGAAGTGGACGCAGATGATACTCTCAGACTGGGGACCCCGGCCCCCTGACACCACTGTGGCCTGGGTCTGGGTCCACAGGTAGCCACCACTCCGCGCCAGGAAGCGATATCGCCCCGTTACTGCCTGTCCCTTGCTCAGCACTGGGGAGGGGGAGGGGAAGGGCTCAGGGCCTTATAAAAGGGGCAACTGAGGAGAGAAAGCTTGAGGGGGGGCGCAGGGGTTAGGTCTGAAGGGACCAGGGAAGATCAGGTTCCTGGGGGGTTGGGGAGCAGGGAGCTAGCTGGTATTGGCAGGCTCAGGCCCAGGGAAACAGAACCCGAACACATACGGCTGTGGATGCTCTGGCCCACTGCATCCGAGTCCAGCGCGTGGATATACTGGTAAGCAGAGCAGCCAATCAGATCCTCGGGGCTGTAGCCAGCAACTTCGGCGATCCTGGGGTGGGTATAGTGGAGCCTGGTCCGTTCAACAGGCTGAGGTAAGGGTGGGTGGAGGGAGGGGGCAGGGGGACCCAGGGATCAAGCCAGCATGACAGACAGACACAGGGTTGTAACGAAGAGAAAGGAAGAGATTAAGAACTAGAAAAAGGAGTGTGTTAGGTGGAATAAAGACCTCCAAAGATGTCCTGTCCTAATTCCTGAACCTGTGAGTATGTGTGCTTACATGGCCAAAGGGATTTTGCAGGTGTGATGAAGTTAAGGGTCTTTAGATGGGGAGATTGTCCTGGGTTATTTGGGTGGGCCCGATGTAGTCACAGGGGTCCTTACAAGAGGGAGGCAGGCGATCAGAGTGAGACTAGGAGATGTGATGATGGAGGAAGAGGTCAGAGTGACGTCTGAGGACAGAGCAAGGGGCCAAGAGCCAAGGAATGCGGGGCGTTTTCAGAGGCTGGAAAAGGCGAGAGACGGATTCTGCCCTGGAGCCTCCAGTAGGAACAGGGCCCTGGATTTTAGCTCCACGAGACTCATTTCAGACTTCTCACCTCCAGAACTCGAAATAAGGAATCTGTGTCGTTTGGAGACCCTGGGTTCATGATAATGTTATAGCAGCCACAGGAAACTAATACAAGAGGAGAGAGTGTGTGGAAATGGAGGAGTGAAGAAAAGAAAGGGAAAAAACATGAAAGAAATAGGAGAGGGGCCCGGCCGGTGTGGCTCAGTGGTTGAGCGTCGACCCAGGCACCAAGAGGTCGCCAGTTCGATTCCCGGTCAGGGCACATGCCCAGGCTGTGGGCCCGATCCCAGTGGGAGGCGTGCAGGAGACGGCCAGTCGATGTTCTCTCTCATCAATGTTTCTATCTCTCTCTACCTCTCCCTTCCTCTTTCTCTCTAAAATAAAAAATAAAAATAAAAAGGAGAGGGGAAGAGAAAGGATGAAAGAAAAATCACAAGAAGATCAGAAAAAATGAATAGACATAAAAAGTAATGATGATGCCCTGGCCAGTTTGGCTCAGTGATTAGAGTGTCAGCCTGTGGACCAAAGAGTCTCGGGTTCGACTCAGGTCAAGGGCACGTACCTCGTACCTCGCTTGTGGTTCAGTCCTAACTTTTTCACATGAACTGACCCGTTTTAGGACAGGGAGGGAGAAACGAAGAGGAAGACTCAAAGAGAGAGACAGAGAGAGAATCACAGATAAAAAGGAGCCACAGAAAATTCAGTAACTTGGACAGAACGAAAGAGGAGCTGGGCACCTCTCATCACAGTAGGTGAACTTCATGTCCAGGCTGTGGCGGCTGAGAAAGGCCCCCCGGCTCAGCGGGGGCTCCAGGCTGTCCGGGTGGGGGATGGCTTCACAGATGAGGACCAGGCATTGCAGGGGTGGCTCTAAATTGGGGGTCCCGGCTGGGGAAGGCTGTGGGGGTGGCTTGTAGACCCTCATGTGTCCAGAGCAGTGTAGCACCTGGTGGAGGAGGGGTCAGGTGTGATGCCCAAGGGCCTGGGGAACCATGGGGCTGGGAGGTATGTCTCTGGGCCCCACAGGAGCTGAGAAGAAGAAACCCCTGAGGACTGCAGAGGCCCAGCTCAGAGAGCCCTGGGGCCCCCCAGCCCCAACCCCACAGAGACCCAGCCTAAGGAGGTTATGAAGATTTCCAGATTTTGAGGACCCCAAATATTAACCCATGGAGACTCTGGACCCTGGAGGCTGGGACCCCCCCCCCCAGACCCACAAAGATCTGGACTAAGAAAGAATACAAGGATCCCCAGCCCCCCGACTCCATAGACACCCAACCTTCAAGATACCCGAAGGGCCCACCAGACCCCCCCTAAGAGCCCCACAGGATCCCTGACCTCGGAGAACCCTGGACTTCAACCCACTGCAAGAAGGTTCGGGCTCAGGCCCAGCCCCAGCAGGCCCTCGTCTGGGCCAGGCCCTGCCCACCTTCCAGGTGGCCGCCTTGAGGTTGAGGGTGCGCCCTCGGCTGGTGAGGGTGCTCTTCATGCGCAAGGAGAAGCACCGCTCCGTGGGGACCTCCAGCTTCTTTTTGGACAGGCCTGGGGAGGGCCATGGGGTCAGGGGGAGAAGCAGGTCACCGGGGCAGCTGTGCGTAGGGCCCAGTTCCCTCCAGCATCCGGTTACTAAAGTCTCCCTAGCAGCCTCATCCCCCAAATAGAGGCCTGGACCCAGAGAGGGTCTCCCACGGGGTAGGGTGTGCTCCTTCAGACTCCCCAGGGCAGGGCCACATCCTCCTCTTCCCATTTTTGAAAATCCAGTATTCCAGAGGAAGAGGGATATGCCGAGGGTAGGGCAAAGCCTCAGTTTCTGTAATTTGGGGACAAAGGCCTCCAGGGAACTCACTCTGCCGGGGGGTCAGGGCATCCTGAAGCTCCTCCTGGTCACAGGGGTGGATGAAATCAAAGATACTGTGTCCAATGAGCTCAAGCTGTGAGGGGGGGAAGCAGAGGGCTGTCTGGGAGGGAACGCGTTTTACTAAGGCCTCTGGCCTATCTCCTCCTTCCCAGCGTCATCACCCCAGCCCTCGTTCCGGAGCCTGGGCTATGTCACCAGTCTCCACATCCATGCATTCATTGGTTCATTGGTTCATTCGGTCATTTATTCCTTTCTCCAGCATACTATTCGCCAGGCCCTCGTTTACATGGTACGGGCACAGCAGTGACCACAAAGACAAAGTCCCTGCCTCTCAGAGCTTATTGGCTAATGAGGGAAGACGGCCAGTAAACAAAACAAAACACATATTTATAAAATAATATAATAATAAATATGGCCCAGCCGCTGTGGCTCAGTAGTTGAGCGTCGACCTATGTATGCACCAAGAGGTCGCTGGTTCGATTCCCCGTCAGGGCACATGCCCAGGTTGTGGGCCTGATCCCCAGTGGGGGGCATGCAGGAGGCAGCCAGTCAATGTCCTCTCTCATCGATGTTTCTATCTCTCTCTCCCTCTCCCTTCCTCTCTCTCTCTAAAAAATCAATAAAGAGGGGGGGAAAAAAAGAAATATGAAGAAAACTAACGCAGGGTAAGGTGATGAAATGAAGAGATGCTATTTTAGTCAGTCATCAAGGACAGTTTCTTTGAGGAGGTGACATTTAAACAAATTGCTGAACAAAGCCAGTGAGGTGGTCTTGTGGCTTTCTGGAGCAGAGTATTCTGGGAAGCAGAACAGCAAGTGCAAAGGTCCTGAGGTGAGACCCCATTCAAACCCCAGCTACTGGGCAAGCCAAAGACTCAACTCCTTTTTCCATTCAGGCCATGAGCTTGGTGCTGGCAGGAGGGGACACAGCTGAAAGGGGACCCACATAGCTCACAGTTCCATTGTGATGGGAAACAGGGGAAGGGTGAGGTCTCCCTCCTCCAACAGCACCTCTTGCTGCTGGATTCGAATCCTGAATCTTCCACTTTCTAACTTTGGGACCTTGGGATATTCACCTTTCTGAGCCCAAGAGCTCAAGCTGAAGGACAGATTGGTACCGGAGTGGGGTCATGAGGCTGGGAAAAGGAACAGATGCCACTTGGAGCCCATTTATGTGAACTAGGAAAGATGCTGGTAACTTGCATAGGGCTTGCTATAAAGATGAGCTGGAACGAGCTCTACTCCCTAAGTGTCTCTCGTCTGTCTTCCCATCCTCAGGCCCTGAGGCCCTGAGCCAACTCTTTGAGGATCTCCCAGCTTCTAGTCTCACTTGCTCCAATTCTATCTATGCACACTTACAGGGATCTTTCTAAATGTAAATCTGATTCCACCTCTCCGACACAACCTCTCTTTTGCTTAAAAACCTTCCATGGCTCTCCAGTGCCCTGGATAAACCTTCTAATTTGGCCCTAATTCTCTAGCCCCTGCTGGCTTTTTTTTTTCTTCCTTCTCCCACTGAAAATAAAGACAGGATAAATGTCTTTATTTTCCCAAAATGTTCTGTTTATTCTCACTTCTGGGTCTTTGGATATTCTGTTCCCTCAATTATCTATATTCCTAGTCTTTGCTGGTCGCATCCATTCTTCATACCTTGGACTGGAGTGAGCCCTTCAGGTTTCAGCTCGGATGTTTCTCCTGGAAACCCTCCATTCCCCGCAGGTTGGGTCAGGTCACCCCCTCCCCTGGCTTGCACCCCAGCCCAGCCCTGAGCATTCTGATCTTCCTGTCTGGTGACATGTCGGTCTCCCTCCGTACTGGGAACCCTGTACAGGCAGGGCTAAGGCGGTCCTGGTCACGTCTGCGTCCCAGCATCACCTGCATGGACCGGGCACAAAGCAGGCAGCTCTTCTCACCTGACTGAGGCCCAGGTGTTTGCTGACATTCTCCGACAGGTAAGCCATGTCTCCCTCGGCGGTAAGCACCATGACGAAACCCTCCAGGGCCTTCAGGTAGCAGGCATCCAGTGGTTCGTCCCCTGTTCCCACCTGGTTCCACTCCCCTGGTGTCCAGGCCCGTGTGGGTGGGGCATCTCTAGTCAGCCATGGGCCCCACTGGCTCGCTTCCCTCTGCCTTCCCTCACTCAGAAGAAATTATGGGTACCCCCAGGTGAGGGGGAGACATCCCAGTGGCTTGGAATCCCAAGGAAGAGGGCAGGGCCACCAGGGATTGGAATTCTCAGGGAGCAGGGCCTCCCAGGGGGACAGAATTCTAAGGTGGTAGGGGTCTCCCAAGGGACTAGAACTCTCAGGAGGACAGAATTCTAAAGGGATGGAATTCCAAGTGGTCAAAATTCTAAGGGTCCAGGGCTTAGGGCAAGTCAGAATTCTAAGGGGGCCAAGCCTTACAGGGGTTCTGAATTCTTGGGGCAGAACTTTCCAGTGGGGCGGAATTCTACAGAAACAGAGTCCTGAGTGAAAGAATTCTAAGGGGGCAGAGCCTCACAGAGAAGTAAAAATCTCTGGGGCAGGGCCCTGGCCGGTTTGGCTCAGCAATAGAGCTCCAGCAGCGGACCAATGAGTCCTGGGTGCGATTCCAGCCAAGGGCACATGCCTTGGTGTGGTTCGTCCCCAGCCCTGGTCGGGGTCATGCAGGAGGTAACCAGTCGATGTGTCTCTCTCATGTTAATGTTTCTCTCTCCCTGTCTCTCTCTCTCTCTCTCTACCTGAAGATAAAGGAAAAATATCCTTCGGTAAGGATAAAAAAAAAACAACAAAAAAAGTCTCGGTTTCGATTCCTGGTCAAGGGCACTACCTCGGTTGCAGGTTTGATTCCCAGCCCCTGTCAGGGTCAGGTGGGAGGCAACCAATTGATGTATTTCTCTCACATCAATGTTTCTCTCCTCTCTTTCCTTTCCTCCCTTCTACTCTATCTAAAAAGTAATGGAAAAATATTCTCGGGTGAGGATAAAAAAAAATCTTTGGGGTGGGGAAGTTTAACAAGCAAAGCCCAAGAGAAAATGACTCCTCCTTCCACATAACAATCTTTTCAAGGTCCTGGGATTCCAAGCGTGTGTGTGCGCGCGCGCATCTCCTGCAGAGCGCAATTCTAACTGGGTGGCAATTCAAAAGAATAACTACTTCAGGGGACAAGAACTAGAACTAGGGAGCTGAGGAGGGGCAGGGGGACTTTCTCAAGTAATTAAAAATTGGGCAGAAAAGCCTCCAGGGATATTTACTATAAGGGAAAGAGGCCTAGCCCAGAAGGTCTCCCGGGGGACCAAATCTTTAGGGTTGAGGCTTTAGGGAGTCAGCTGGCCTCCTATTCCATAGATTTCTAAGAAGACAAAGCTTCCAAAGGGTGCATTCCATGGGGCGGGGCCTTACAAGTGATAGACGTCTACGGGGGGCGGGCGCCGACTGCCCAGAACTCGAGCAGGGCGGGGCCTCGCCGGGGAAGTGGATTCCAGGGGGACTGGGGCTCCGCAGGGAAGACATCAGGGGGCGCGGCTATGTCGGGAGCAGGATTGCCGGGGGCGGGGCCTCCCCGGGGCGTCGCTTTCCGAGGGCGGGACCTCGCCCAGGTGGGAATTCCCAGGGGCGGGGCTCACCTGCGGCGCAGAGGCGGTGCATGCGCAGGTAGCTGATGGTGAGGCGCATGATGGAGGCCTTGTCCAGGTGCGCGCTGACCCCGCGCGCGAAGGGCAGCGTGTGCGCCAGCTGGTACAGCACCTCGGTCTCCTGGCTGCGCCGGCTGCGAGCCGCATCCCGGGACTTCTCCTTGCGCAGCTCGGTGCTCGACCTGCGGGCGAGGGCAGCGTTCGCTGGCGGGCCCTGGGCAGGGGAGAGCGGCGGCCGGGACGAGCACGTGGGGCGCCGCCACATGGCGCCGGGCTGGCTGTGTGGCGGCGGCGAGTTGCCGAAGCACTCTGGGCCTGGAAGCGTTATACTTTGAAGCTGCTTCTAGCCTCGGGTTTTATCTGCTCTCCTGTGCCTCACAGGCCCGCGCTGTCCCCTCCCTGACTTATCTACAGTTTATTCCCTGGCTTAGGACGCCAGGGGGACAGGGAGGCCTCTTGCTGGGAGGGGGCTGGCTGAGCTGGCGCGGAGCCAGGGAGGGAAGGATCGGAAAGGAGATGCCTGTGCAGCCTCCCAGACCCCCTGCCCTACAGCCTCCCAGAATCCTGTCTCCTGACCTTCCCCCTCAGTTGAGCTGAGTCCTCAGAATCTTCAAGCACAGATCTCAAAGTCCAAGGACCCACCAACAGGGGCCCCACCAGGGTGACACAGCAAACCGACCTCCCGGGGCTCTGTCCGGCTAAACACTCACCCCTGCCCTCTAATCCACTCAGAAGCCTGGTCCTGCGAGTGGGGTTGGGTGTAGAAGGATGAGAATCTTTTTGTGGGAAACATATGCCCCTTATTCAGCTTTTACTTTATGTCAGTCCCTGTGGCATGTGTGTTGCATTAACCCATTTAGCACTCAGACAACCCTAGAAGGAAAGTAATGTCCCCAGTGAACAGATGAGCAAACCGAGGCACAGAGCGTGCAGCGTTTGCCCATCAGGAGTGAAGCCAGGGATTGAACACGTCTCTTTTCTCTGTCTCTCTGGCTCTGGGTTTATCTAGTGCTTACCCCTATTTCTACCACTGTCTTTTTAAAAAATCCTTGCCCGAGGACATGTTTTTATTGATTATTAGAGAGAGGGAAAAATACATCAATGCCCTGGTTGGTGTTGCTCAGCGGTTAGAGTGTCCACCCACACACTGAAGGGTCATGGGTTCCATTCCTGGTCAAGGACACATATCTGGGTTGCAGGTTCGATCCGGGCTTAGTCCGGGTGCATGTGGGAGGCAACCAATCCATGTGTCTCTCTCACATTGATGCCTCTCTCTCTCTCCCTCCCTCCTTTTCACTCTCAAAATCAGTGGAAAAAATACCCTCGGGTGAGAATTAACAAAAAAATTATAGAAAGAGAGAGACATCAATCAGTTACCTGTTGTATGTGACCCAACTGGGAATCAAACCCACCACCTTTTGGTGTACAGGACGAGGCTCCAACCAACTGAGCTACCGGCCAGGGGTCTACCCCTGTCTTAAAAGTCAAACTCCAGGTCTGTCTGAATCCAAATGCTATAGTTTTTTTGTTTTGTTGTTGTTTGTTTGTTTTAATCCTCACCAGAGGTCTTTTTCCCACTTTTTGTTCAGATAGAGTGGAAGGGAGAGAGAGGAAGAGAGAGAGAGAGAAACATCGATGTGAAAGGGACACATCGAGTGGCTGCCACCCGCATGACCAACCAGGGCCAGGGACAGGGACAAACTGCAACCAAGGTATGTGCCCTCAATGGGAACTGAACCCGGGTCTCTCTGGACTGCAGGCCGACGCTCCAACCGCTGAGCCAAACCGGCCAGGGCTGTTTTTGTTTTTTTTTGTTTTTGTTTTTTGTTTTTTTTAATGTTGTAGAGTACATTGCACATAGCATCTATAATCTTATCTATATGTATAATATTGATAAAATCATTAATAATAAGTAGCTATGATTTGCTATGTGTCTGGCACTTTACTGAGTACTCTGCCTGAGTGTACTTATTCAACTTCTAGGAGAGCTCTAGGCAGGAGGTAGTTTGAACCTCCATTTCACAATGGGGAAACTGAGGCTCTGAAAGGTGAAGTCCTTTGCTCAAGCCAGTAGCTGGCAGAGCTGGGATTTGACCTCAAGCAGTGAGGTTTCAAAGCCTTCATGCTTCTAATTCCTGCCTTGTGACCCACCCCAGGGAAGCAGGACTCTAGGAGGGAAGGCTGTCCCTTCCTAGAAACCAGAGGCCACTTCTGGGGGTGGCATCAACCTCACTCCCCAGCAGGAGACCTGCAGCGGCACCTACAGACACTGGGGGGGGGGGGGGGAGGCTGTCCAGTCTGGCTGCAGAGGGAAAAGTCTCCTTGGGGTGGGTGGAGGGTGGAAGGAGCCAGGGATCACCCCCATCCCTTCCCTCCTGGCTGGGGGCTGAGGGGGAGCAGGGGCCTCCAGCCCTGCTCGGCCCAGAGGACATTCCGTCCTGTCCTGTTCTGGTTCTGTTCCAGCCCTGTTTGTCATACTGCCCAGAGGGTAGGGGTGGGCGGGCTCACTGAGCTGGAGGCCTGGGCAGAGGGAACAGGGAGTGGGAAGAGGAATGGGGGTGGGGCTGGCCCCCACCTCGCAGGCAGCTGGGCTCTGTAATCTTCTCCGTGGCAGACTTCTCCCTCCATAGAAGGAACCAGCTGGTGGCTGCCACAGACCCTCCTTCCAGCTCCCAGCTTGTTCTCTGACAGGAAGTGTGGGCCTCCTGCCGCTCCCCAAAGCCTGGGTCTCAGGCCTTTCCCATTAAATCGAGTGGGGGCTGGTTCTTCTGATTTAGGGCTGTAGCCGGGGCTGCATTACTAAGCTGTGTGACTTGGACACGTTGCACAGCATCCCTGAGCGTAATAACACCTACCTCACAGGGTTGTTCTAAAGATTGAATGAGTTAATAAAAGTCAGGGGCTTAGAAGAGGACCTGGCAATTGGTGAGTGCTCAATAAAGTTTATATATTTTTTTATTATTCCTCCTTGTCCACATCCGGGATGGAAGGCGTGGGAGCCTCGTGGGCACTGGAGAAATGGGGCTTTGGTGCTAATTCCGTGGGAAGGTGTCTGTGCGGGTACCTACGTGACTTTGACCCAAGCACTTTCGGGAAGAAGACTAGGTAGTAGCGATGGTGACAATAATGATAGCGTTGGTGTATTGAACACTCATGCAGTGAAAGACCCCATTAAATCCTTTCAGCAACCCTGTGACCTCCCTGTTCCAAGAACATCACAGGCCCTGGGGACCCAGGTGCCAATCCCAGATCCCCCGCCAATGCTCACCCATGTTCAGGCATCTCAGTCTTACCGCGCAGCTACTGGTCCCCCCCCCCCCCCATTTTCCTGAAAAGGAAGCAGGTCGGGGAGGTGATGGAACTTGCCTGAGGCCACACAGCTTTTAGCAGCAGCGCCAAGTTAAAAACCAGGTCTGTCTGTTTCCGCCCAGAGCTCTGTCTGAGTGGAACACGGTTTATTGCATGCCGATGGGGTGTCCTGCTCCCAGAGATCTGTTCCCTCACTGCTCTTCAACTTGATGTGGTGTGGGGGAGGGGAGGCATGACCACTATTTTTCCAGGGTATGAAATTGAGGCTCAGAGAGGTGGTCACTGGCACAAGGCCATGCAGCCAGAAGCTGGTGAACTGGGATTTGAACCCTGACTTTAGGGGCCTGTGATCTTAAATGCCATGCTTTTCTAGGTGTACCCACCCAAGGGACCCCTGCCCTCCCCTCCTTTGCCCAGTGGCCTCAGTCCCTTCCCCTTGTCCCATCCCTGCTGCCTCCGGATTTCCCCAGCTGGACAGTCTCCCCAGCTGGCCCTATGCCCAGCCCTGGTCCAGCCCCCTGGCACTCTGCCCAGCTCGGGACGTGCAGCTGGAACCCTGCCACTTTCCTCTGTTCCAGCAGAGAACAGGGGGCGGGGCCAGGGCCTGGAGGCCCCAGGGTGAGGCCAGAAAACGGGGACTGGAGCCCAGTACCCCCCCCCATCAGGAGAGAGAGAAGCCCATATCTTCTCTGTCCTGAGAACTGGCCACCCATGAGCAAAGGCCCAGAGAAAGTGGGGAGACCCCTGCCCACATTCCGGGTTGCTCTGGGGCCTCTCTTCTGACACCAAGCTGGGTATTGGGGGTCTTGCAAAAAAAAGTGTAGAGGATTTATGGGGCTTAGGCTGTATCTGCCCAGGACTCTTTGGGCACTGCCCAGAGATGGCCTGAAAGACCAGAGTTGGGGTTTGGATTTGAGAAGGGATTTGAGGTGTGAGCTGAGAGGAGTCTCCCTGCTCCCCAACTCACTCATTCCCAGGGATATGGTAATCCAGTAGAGTGCCCATACCAAAAGTCCTGGGGTTCCGGAGACAATAGGACTTTTGGGGCAGTGTGCCCATCAGGAACTTCCCAAGAACATCCCCGATCAAAGTGAGATGGCAGTAAGCCCAAGCTGGAAGAAAGGAAGGGGGTGAGGGGGATGGGGCGCTCACTCACCATCACCCAGGCCCCCTTTGGCCCAAGTGCCATCCTAGGGGTGCAGGAGGGGATGGAGTGTGGCCGGGATCTGGGTGCGAGTTATGCGTGAGTGGTGCGGGGTGCTGGGACGACGCCGCAGGAAAGGGCTGGCTTTGGGTGGAGAGGGGAGAGCACTCCTGCTCAGCCAAGAGGGGCCTCCACCCAGCCAGGAGGGGGCGCTGGGAGGGGCTGGGCTGGGGCTGGCCCAGAAGGGGTGGGATGGAGTTCCCTGGTGGGCCCGGAGCCAGAGACTGGAATAGATTGGGGGGAGGGGATGGCCTGGAGGGGGGGCGGTTGAAAAACATCGGGGTGTGGACCGATCCAATCAGACCTGGGAAGCCAGGGAGGAGGGAAGGGGGTGAGGCTTCCTGGATGCCTCAGATTGGACAGGGGAAGCCAAAGGCCTGGGACACTTTCCTAGGTCCCCAAGCAAACACTGCAGGTAGGATCCTTGGCAGTGGACCCAGAGCACAGGTTCCCACTGTCCCAGCAAATCTGCACCTGCTGGGAGCTCTGCCTAAGGTGACCCAGCTGGGCAGGTGGCAAGGGTGTTTCCATGAGGCTTGCACTGAATCGGGCACAGCACTCTCCTTTGGGTCGTTCCCCCCAAAGCTTGGTGCTCCCACTCCATAGTCACAGGGACTGGGTGGGGTGGAGGAGGGACATAAGGCCCTAAACTTGGACAAGTGGGTCAGGCTGTTCCCCTGTTATCAAAGGGGGTGACCCTACCTTTCAAAAGGATAAAAAAAGGCCCCTGGGGAGGGTCCCAGGTAGCTTTT